CTGCTAGCTAGCAGTGATATTTGGAGCGTGTGCTCCAAATTCCTCTGTAAAATCCAAATAGTGGTTCTGTTAAAAACTTGAAATCTCCATGGATGTTTTTAGGATGTTACTGGTAATCATTTGAAACCTGAAGTAACTACAGTTGTCTGTAGTTACTGTTTAATAACATCCATTCTAGGACATGAATCTGTCCTAAGGAAACTTGTTCTTTGGGATGGATTTTTTTTTTTTTCTGTTTTTGACACTATCCCTGTCACATTCCAAAGACAAGCTCATATAGTGGAATTGCATGCTGTGTGCTTGGAAAACATCTTCCTGGCAGATGATTTTGCCCTGACTGGATGATGATGGCACTTCTAAGCATTCAGGATGGACTGTGTCATGTAGTGATGAATTTTTTGCTTGAGCCTGTGAATGGTGAATAGTTGCCATGGAGTTTCTTTATGTTCAAAGTTTATTACTTTGCTGACTAGTTGGATATGTGATATCTCTCTCCATGAATGAATTCTTACCTTGGGAATCTGTTGGGAAATCTTAATGGTGGTGGCAGTTGATTCTGCATAACATTTACTGTGTTCACAAGAACAGTCTTTTCTGAGATTAGATTAGGTAAACTTGTAAATTCTTAGAATTCATATTTTTTCTAAATACTGTGCAGGGAGCATGTTGCTTAGAGAAATTCCTTCTGCTCTGTGTCATCCTGGGTTTATTAATCTTATTGTGGACTTGTTAGAGGCTGCATGCCATATTTTTTATTTAATTCTACTAGATATTTGTTTGTTGAAATACTTTGTGAAAGGTTTGTGACAGAACAGCAAAATGCTTGGCTAATTACTGGGATAATATCCTGTTTTTCAAAATAATCGTATTATTTTGATTTTTTGGAATATTAGCCTGCAGTCCCCTGGAATCTGCTGTTTGTGTCCATGAGGCTAATCTGGCCTGGCACGTCTGTGAACATGATGCTCTTCTGCTCCCTACTGCCTGATGATTGCTCCCTGTAGTCCATTCCTTCCTCTGGGGATGGATGAAATGAGGTGTTTGCTGCCAAATTCATATGTTTTCATAAGATTGGGATCTGACCGAATCAGGACATTCTGGCATGGGGTTTAAGTAATGCAAACCTTGTGACAGGACGGCCTGCCTCCTATTGGAAAGAGCTTGATACAACTACATGTTGAGAGGACTGACCTCATTGGAAAGAGGAGAAAAGTGGGACTTCTGGCAAAGAAAAGGCCTCATGATACATGTGATCTACATTTCCTGCATCCTCCCTAATCTTCTTTCCCATTCTAGGTCTGTAGGTTTTTGGTGCTCAGCTATTTTCATCCCCTTTGTGTTTTGAGTGACAAGTTTTAATTAGTGTTTAAGGAAGTTGTTGGCAGCCTATGAAAGGGGCGGTCTCGTGTCCTTGTGACTCAGAATATTGGGCCTCCTCGCGGCCTTGTAGGTGGACGCAGAGCGTAGTCTGAGTGGACGTAGTTCGTTTGCAGGATGGGCAAGAGGAAGGCTACGAAAACTAGAGTTACTGGCAAGTCATTTTTTCTTTAAGCTCTTGAAATATGTTAATGTTGGCACCCAAGTTAAGTATATGCTCTATGAATGACTTTGCAAATTTAAGGCTTTTTAAGAGCTTTCATTTCTCCTTAACACAGATAAGTTGGGACTTTTGCTTTAGCCAATTGTTAACACTATGTCTTTCAGTATGTGGTTGCCCTGCCTTTTAAATACCCATTTTTGTCCTTATTCCCCGGGGATTTTCATTACAAAACCTGGCCTGTAGGTAGAACTTACCTACTCAGTCCTAAAAGTTCAAGATTTTAATGACAACTGGAGACATTTTTTTTTTTGCAACTTGGACTGCAACAGAACATTTCCCTGGGCTTTTTTTTTTCTGGTTCAGTAATTCCTCTGTGAAGAATATCCTATAGATAACTCTTTGTAGAAGTATAACACCTTGAATTTTCTCAACAAGCAACTTCTATAACTTACTCCTTTGGATTGTAGTAGACAAACTAGCTGTCACAGCTGTTGAAAGTGATTACATAGCTGTGAATCTTAATTTAGAAAAAAAAAAGGAAAAAGAAAAAATATAACTGGGTAAAGATATCCTCTGACAAAGAGGGCTAACATTTCTGATGAATCTTTTTGTTTTGGAGCAGGGTTTAATTTTTTTGTACACTGAATAATCACAGAGAAATGTAACTATTATAGCTAAAGATAGGGCTGTTTCATAGAATTTGCCAGGCTGGGGGCACACTGTGGAGGCTGCAGTTCTGGTGGTGTTTTTCATGACCATTCCTCTATAAGTCGGTTGACTTTTCCTTTTATGAAACTTTTCTTTTGCATTTAGATGTGTTTAGCTCTTTGAAGAACCTGCTAATGTTATGCCATGCGTATCAGCTTTCTGGGTGAGGACACATGTGCCTGAAAGCTCATCTCTTTTTTGTTTGTTTGTTTTTCCCATTTCGCCAGTTAGACTAAGAAGTTCTATTATTGTGTGATACAGTACTTGCCTTTTCCATCTCCTTGTAACAGGTATCGGTAAAAGGCTACTATATAATTAGAAACTCAATTTTAAATAATAAATATTCTTTTATTGTGGTTTGGCTAAAGATAGATACATACATATATATATATATATATATATATTTTTTTTTTAAGACAAGTGTTTCAGGGTAGTCTTCATTTTAATGACCTGAGCAAGGGTAACTATCATTCTTTCCAATTAACTATGAAGACCTGCTAAGGTGTGGTTATTGCTATATAATTATATGCTTGTGACATCAAAATGTAGGGGAGAGATTAATACATTACATCACCCTTTAGACATGCAGTTTACCAAATAAGATAATATCAATGATACTTCCTTCTGAGTTTTGAAGATTATTTATATAGCTTTTATACCTTCTAAAATTTCACCTTTTTCATTCTGAATGAATGCCTTAAAAAAAAAAATGCTCTCATAAAATCTAAGCACATACTGAGGATACTTTTTACTAGGCTAATATTTGTGTGAAATGCGTGTATATTTACTTGGACTTTAGTTTCTTCTTATCAGGTTGGAGAGGCTTCTACAAAAACGGTTTCAAAGTAGCTCTGCCAGCTGCAGAATCAGACACACAATTTGCTTTGCTCCTTTGCTATGTGTTTGATATTGTATTTTTTTTCCTGTGTGTGTGGTGGTGGTGGTTTTTTTTTTTTTTTTTTTTTTTTTTTTTTTTTTGTCCTGGGTTTAGCTCATGCCCATCTCTTCAGTAAAGGATGAAGCTGCTTTGCAGCCTTTCTTTCAGTGTTGAATTCAAGTAATTTTCCCAGGGAGATCAAGGTAGACAGAGAGGTGTGACCGAATATTTGATGTTGTCTTGTCCTGTTATTACTGGCTGGAGTTGGATACCTGTATGTTTACACAAAACCCTGTTTTTCATACTCAAGTACCAAAAATGTGATGGTTGAGAACTTCAGTCTGTGTTTTAGTCTGGATTTTGAGAGAAGCTTCTCTTTTCTTGGATTTTAAACTTGAGGATTTAGTCTCTAGATCCTTAGAACTAGTCTTAGACTTGAAGAATCTGAAGCTGCTTGCTTTGTTTCTTTTTCTTATGCATGTAAATGTTTGAGGAATCTGTGCTAGCAATCATTAATTTCAATGTACAGAATCCAATTGTGCATATCTAAAGAACACACACATTTTCACAATCTTCTTATTTAAAAGTGGATGCAAGAAAAATCGTTGCTGAAAAATGAGTAGTAGTTTGACCATAGAGGCCAGTGTTTCTGTAGATTCCTGTGGATTTTAACTTCTTTGGTAATTAAAGTTATTCAAGGCATGTTTTTATTTTGGGTACTAGTGTTTGGCTCCAACAGTATTTCCAGTAGCTTTTTTTTTTCCCCAGGATATTCCCACTTTGCAAGTGGATGCAGTTAAGTTGTAGGAAATGGGGCCACTTACTTCAGGTCATACTTTGGGTCACTTGTGGAGCTCAATGAATGATTCATCTTGATTTTTCACAGTTTCCTGCTGTAGCCATTAAGAAAGTATTAGGTGCCTTTGTACAAATGGATGGCAAAAAAAGAAATGAGGTATCTTAACCAGAATACTAGAGTAACAGAAGTTTGTTAGCAGTATGAGTAGCCATAAGCATACTTTTTTCTTTTTGGATTTTTTTAAGGTGTTGGGGGAAAATTAAATGTAAGCGAATAAAATTGTTGTAATCACACTGCAGCTCTGGAGAAAATATAGCTAATCTGATTAGGAGTATTGGAGAACTCATAAGATTTTAAAATGGTTTTATATTCAGCAGCATAAAAAAGTAGTTGAGGGTGCTTGATTCTAATGTGATACTTGGCTCTAAATACTCTTGGAAATTAGGTCACTTACTAAAGGCTCTTTGCTCTGATATTTTCAAAGTAAAATAACCTGGTATGAGTGTACTTCTGCTATGAGAGTCACAAAATTTGACTGACAATCCGTGGGAGTAATCAGGTTCCTAGGAAAACTATTGTTGTATTTTTTTTAAACAGGCTTTGATTCTGACAATTCTTCAGGGGACTTCTCAGAAGCGAATCATAAAGCTGCAGAAATGCTTGATCTAGATACACGCCAAAGCAGTAGGACTGGAAAACATAATGGAGAGACAGAGATTCAAGAAAATGGCATTAAGAGACACAGGTAAACACATAGTAATGCATAATAAAGAAATGAAAGTGCTAGCTCACTCTGGGGGGCCTTGAGAACTTTTACCACTGGAAGAGGTCATTTTTCTGAAATCCAAAGGATATTTCACCTGCTGTGCCTCTTCTGTCAGTTATAGAGCAATAGTGTGCTGCTTTTGTGAAGTACTCCCAGATCTACAAATGAATACATCCTTTCATTTAAGGGACTGATAGTGATAGTTGTTGTTTTCTTCCTATTACAGGACATCATTACCTGCACCAATGTTTTCTAGAAGTGATTTTAGTGTGTGGAGCATATTAAAAAAGTGCATTGGACTGGTAAGTTAATTTGGATGAACAGTGCTGTTCCATGCTAGCTTCAGCTGCTTATCTTTATTGTTTAAAACCTTGACACAGAATAATCCCTGATGCATTCTTCATTTGTAGGGAGGTTTGTAGGAAGCTTTTGGTTTTTTCATTTGTAGGTTGCATTGTAAACTGCAACTCTTTAAATCTCAGTGTCTGTTTAGTAAATGGAATTGTTTGCTTACTTCTTGCTGTTGGATAACTTAGAGTTGTGACTAGGAAATGAGCTTTTGCTTTTGTCATCTAGGAGCTGTCTAAAATTACAATGCCCATTGTCTTCAATGAACCATTGAGTTTCCTTCAACGGATAACAGAGTATATGGAACATATATACCTCATTAATAAGGCTTGTAGTCAAGCAGATCCCCTGGAAAGAATGCAGGTATGTACCAGCTTCCTCCTGATTAGCTTGGGAAATATTCCTCTTCCAGAGTCTTTTCTTTAAGACAGTGTTTCAGTGGAGTGCATTGCACCCTCTGGGGCTAGTCATAAGAATCCCTGTATTGTCCTTTTAGACAAGTTTCTTATTTCATAGTGCCTGGTATCAGATACTTGGGTCACTTCCACACTTGATGCTCTCATGGATACTGAGGCAAAAGTCTAGTGCAGGAGAGTGCCTCGAATGACCATGTCCAAGGTCCTCAGCCTTTTCAGTACTGCTTAACCATAATGTTCTTGTGTTTGTGTGTGTCTTGTGAAGATGAGGTCTTGCCTTTAAATTCCTGTAAATTGATGTTGAGTGACTCCATGCTTTTTAAATGAACAGATGAAAATTGTTGTGATATGGAGAAACTTCACCATTCTTTGGTGGTTCTTCAAAGTGAATATAATATCTGACTAGTCTCACATTAAGGAATTGGACATGATGGCACAAAGCCAGTGTATGTTAGGGTGTTATGTTAAGGTATTGCTCCTAGGTCTATTTTAGTTAAGAGAAATTGGAGTGTACATGTTGTATTCTGTGTTTGTATAACACATACCCCTACTTACCAGCCTGTGAGAGCTTCTAAATGTCATTTGTGCCTGCTAGTAGGATTCAAGAATCATCCCATCTGCATTAGAAATGATGCTTGACTAGTACTTAGAAAAGCAAGCCTCTGTTCCCAGGACACATTTTGGAAATGAGATGGTTATGAATTGCATCTCTTTCCCCAGTTCTATATTATTTAAATCCTATGGCTCACAAATGTTTTAACCTTAAGCAATATTTAGTTCCTTTGTTTTGGACAAATAGCAAAATATGATAATATGTAGATATAATGTGCAAAAGTTGTACTTTTAATGTACTCTTCTCATCTATTCTCGTTCGCTTTTAGGCTGTAGCTGCTTTTGCAGTTTCTGCTGTAGCTTCTCAGTGGGAGAGAACTGGCAAACCCTTTAACCCACTTCTAGGAGAAACCTATGAATTAACAAGGTAATTGCTTTAAATTGGGAACCATTTGTGTTGTTAACAAACTGTGATGCCAGCTTGGTGGTTTATGCAGTGAATTAAAAAAACTTCAAAACACATTTCTAAAGTACAGCTATTTTTTTTTCTCTCCACAGTAACACAAAATCTTTGAGAAGTTGTTATAAACTATTTTTTTTATTTCTGTGTTTAGGTAGACTTTTCTTTGAATTATTAAGAGGAAAAAATGGCCTGTAGTGGTCTGAGACACATTAATTAACCATTAGTATTTGGTTAGGAGAAATTTTAAGTGTTCTGTTGATCATGTCAGGTACAAGATTTAAGTTGAGAGACTTCCAGTCTGCTTAAACTAGTTGTATATATTCTGTGGAAAAAATGACTCTCATTAAGATCTACTGCTGCCCAAGTAGCTTCAGAATTTTCAACAGTTATTTAAATACATTCAGATGCCTTTATGGGTAAAAGTCATTTAAGAGTTGACTGTGGATTGTTTTGGGGTGCAAGAGGGAAGATATTCATGGAATATAGTTTTCTTCATTTTGTTATTCATGTGCCATGGAATTGGCTCATAAGCATGTGCGTTTTTTTTTTTTTTTTTTTTTTTTTTTTTTTCCCTGCTGTAAGACTGGTGAGAAAAAAAGGGAAAAAAGATGATGTTGATTAATCTTTTAATGCTTCTTCTTTGTTTGTTTGTTTTCTTAAGGGAGGATTTAGGTTTTAGGTTTATATCTGAGCAAGTCAGCCATCACCCGCCTATTAGTGCATTTTATTCTGAAGGCCTCAATAAGGACTTTGTTTTCCATGGATCAATCTACCCCAAACTAAAATTTTGGGGAAAGAGTATAGAAGCTGAGCCTCGGGGAACAATTACTTTGGAGCTGCTAAAGTGAGTACGAGGCGGGGTAGGGTGGGGGGAAGGTAATATTTTTATGCTTCTCTCCTTAACACTTAGTTGTATAAAAATAGATGACGTGCTGTTAGTTCTTCATAGACGAGTTTCTGAAAACCTCTTGTCAAAGGAATTGCAGAGGTTTATTTACAAGTTATTGTTCAGTGCTTAATTTCAGAGCTCATTTGCTGGAGGTATGTCATGCTTGCACAGCTGCAGCAATTAAACCCTGCTTTTCTACTATGAAAATTAACATTTCTTAGATTGAATGCTACTGAAAACCAGTTCCTTGAAGGCGTATAAAATTTGAATAAAGAGCTAAAATCCTATTACCAAGCCATTCAAGCCCATTGTACTTTTAAATTTCATAGTTGGTTCTGATCATTTGAAAACGTATCTGTGTGTTTCTGTGAAAAGCATCACTTCAGCATAGTTGCTCTGTGCTACTAGGAAACCTTAGGAATTCATCAGGATTTCAATTGCCTATTTAACACTTTTTTTTTTTCTTGTGGATGGTCACCTTCCTAATAAAATCACAGGTGCCTTTGCAGATTACTTCTAGACTTCTTTCTGATCAGTTAACATCTCTTAAAACTTACACTGCTTTCTGTAAGTTGGTTTGTGCCCTTGTGGCACTGAGAATCTTTATACTTCCCAGGTACGCATTTTCAGTCATGAAGGCTGAACTACTTGTCACAAAGAAGCACTCTCTGCATTATGGTAAAGGTTTGTAACAGAGGTCTTTGTGGGATAGCAGACTTCAG